CGAATTTCGTGCACCGGGCCTCTAGTAGATATATATATATAAACTAGACTTTTAATGTGTACAATAATTAATACTTAAGAATAATCCAATAACACAGGAAGGGGAAAATACAAATATTTGTCTTTGATATTCCACAGGTCAATTTTATGAGGAACAAAATAAAATTTAGGGCATATAGTCCAAGGAAGCTATGTGAAAATTATGGTGCTGTCATCTATTTAAGGATTCTAACCAGTAATGAAATTAGAACTCCAGTGTTTAAGTAGTGAGGGAAATAGGAAATCCAAAGCCCTTTTGTGGCAGTTAACTCGGGCTTCTGAGTCCTCAAAGGGTTATCATACCTAAGAGGTTCTCTCACTTGTCTCTCTCAGGACACAGTGGTGGCTCTCCATGCTTTGTCCAGATATGGAGCAGCTACTTTCACCAGGACTGGGAAGGCTGTACAGGTGACCATTCAATCTTCAGGGACATTTTCCACAAATTTCCAAGTGGACAACGACAACCGCTTGCTACTGCAGCAGATTTCATTGCCAAAGGTGCCTGGAGATTACAGCATGACAGCAACAGGAAAAGGGTGTGTCTACCTCCAGGTGAGACTCTTGGAGCAGATGAGGACAGAGGGTCCCTAGTAACCATTCTCCCTGAAAAGTCCTAATTCAGGAAATGATGGAAGAAATCAAAAAGTGTTGAGAAGGTTGGGAGAAATAATGAGGAAGGGGAAAATACAAATATTTGTCTTTGATGCTCCACAGACATCCTTGAAATATAATATTCTCCCCCAAAAAGAAGAGTTCCCATTTGCTTTGGGGGTACAGACTCTGCCCCAAACTTGTGAAGGACCCAAAGCCCACACCACCTTCCAGGTCTCACTGAATGTCAGGTAAGACTTTCTGACTGAATCACTTAATTCTGTGTATAACAACCAATCTTCTTACTGGAACTCCTCATTAAGCCAAGCACTGGGATGGTGAATGTTTGTACTACATTTACCAAAAAAGTAATATGTTCTTAGGTTGATACAGAATTTCTCAGTGATGAGGTTTACATTGTACTTCCTCTACTTCCAGAAACCATTATTGTCACACCTCATTATTTAAAGGTTATTAATTTCCCTCAATAATAAGTAAAGGTAGATCATTATCCCTTGCTTCTGACCTGAATTTCTCGTTTCATTATAATGTAATGATTCATCCTAATTTTATTCTACA